ATAGTATAACCTTATAAATGTCTGAAGTTTTCAGCTGTTACTGTGTCTTGGCATTCTCTTGATGCTGTCTCATAAATTCTGCAGGCTTTCTTCACTCTTCATTATCTTCTCTTGACTATACAATCAGCCTTGCTTCTTCTACAGCTTCTATACTGTGGATTCAACCAACTATACAGGAACAATACCGGACCAAAAACGCCATCTGTACCAAATTATACTTTTCTTGTCGTGTTTTCCTAAATATTAGAGTAACAGCTTGGTGCTTGGTACCTACATTTAACTGTGTAGGTTAAATATTTAAATGACTTGAGTACCTATGGATTTTCATAAATGCAAAGAATCTTGGAACTGATTCTCATGGATTTTAAGGTATAACTATTTTATTCTGCCTTTTGTTTAAAAAATTATTTATTTGAAAAGCAGAGTTAACAGATTGAAAAGAAGAATCTTCCATCTGCTGGTTCACTTCTCAACTGACAGAAACAGCTGGTGCTGGGCCAGAATGAAGCGAGAAGCTTCTAGGTGCAGGGGCTCAGGCACTTGAGCCTTCCTTGTTGCTTTCCCAGGCACATTAGCAGGGAGGTGGATCAGAAGTGGAGCAAGGAGCAATCATTCCTCAAACTGGCACCTGTACTGGATGATGGCAGTGCAAGCAGCAGTTCCAGGTAGGACTATTTTCAAGTAACTTGTCTTCCAATTTACATGCTTTACTTGCTCAGGTATACTGTTTGACAGCAGTATTGTTTTCACTTCACTATTGTCTATCCAGAAATTCCCTCATTTTTTCTGTTCCTGATTTCACTGAATTATTTCTCTATTTTCTTGAAGTTTGCGGTTTCCTTAAAATGACTATTCAGTGAAAGTTTCATGTAAATTGTATTCCTTTGATGTTTGTGTATATCTCCTTGGTTTTTCCTTTTAATCTTTGCCTGATGCTTGCATATTTGGTGGAGCAGTCACCTTTTCTAGAGTTCAAACTAGCTTTGTAGGAAAGAGCTTCCTCTGTGAGGAGGGCAAGAACACAGGATGAGGGGAGGGTGCAGTGGTGAGGCAGCTATCTGCTGGTCTTGAAGCAGCTCTGACATCAGTGTGGCTGATGACTACACATTACTCACCAGGCAGTGCTCCCAGTGTATGCAGTGTCAGTTGTCCTGATCTCTTCCACTAAAGCAGCTGTGGCTGTGGGCATCCTTGCAGCAGCTCTGCAGTCTAGTGAACAACCCATGTGCAGAAGCCACGAGCCAAGGCCTGAACAGCATATCCTGAGGCCTTCAAGCTCTAGGATCTAGGGTGGTTGTCACAAAGGTGTGTATGGTACAGGCATCCCCACTAATGAATTAATAACGGCATACAAGGTGTCAGCATTTGTGAGGCAGTCATTAGCCAAGTGTGAAAGCACAAGTGTGACCATGGCTACAGTGGCTCTGGAGAGGTCTCTCTGTGGTGGTTGAATTAGTGTCCAGTGAGCAGACTTGCCCAAGGGTGCATGCTCCCTGGGGGAAAGCTATTCACTTTGGTGTCCTGGGAGTAGAACTACGTGAGAGCTCTCAATGTTGGTAGGGTAAACTGGGGCTTGCGGTGTAAGCTGGCTTAGTATGATTCTATTGTCTAGGCATGGGTGAGTGCAGCAAACAGAAACCAGGTCTGGAGTAGAAGGCTGCGAGCTTAGGAGTCAGGCGAATACACAGGCTTAGGAAAGATGGCCACTGTAGACCTGCAGCAGAGTAACACAGCTGCTTCAAACCATAGGTGGGTATACATCCATCTCTGCCTCTGACATCTCAGAGACTAAAGATGCAGTGCTCTTGGGGAGGTCCCTGGCTAATGCTGACAGCTACTATATGCTGATTTTACCCACAATTCTTTGGGTGGACATTGTGTGTTGCTTAAGAGTCTCCAGTGGGACTTTAAATAGCGGGGGGAGGGGGCTGGTTTAGTTTCTGGACAGCTGTCTATATTTGTGGGTAAATGAAAGACAAGTCTGGTATCTCCTCTGTCATTTAAGGTGATGTCTCGTTTACATATGCTTCTGAGGGAAGATTAGCTGAACCTTGAGAGTACCTCCTTGACATAGCAACATGATGTCTTATTGCACCAGCTCTCCCACAGGTAAGTCAAAGTCAAAACACAGCTACATTTCAAGTGGGGGGGGGCGGGGGGGAGTAATTGATGGTTTTATTCTAGGCCAAAGTGCAGGAGCAGGACTTGGTTACAAACATTTGTAGGATGTACTCCCCGCCACCCCGAATTTAAAAAAAAATTGCTTATGAACTTTCTAAGCATTTGTTACATCCCAGACAGCATCTGCTGTCTCTTCCAAAACTCATGTTGAAATGTGCCAGTGTTACTGACCTTGAAGAGGTGTTTAGATCACCTGAATGCTGTTTTGCTGGGAGTAGGTTCCCCTGTTGTTTTCTTTGTCCTTCTGCCATGTAAGGGCATAGTGAGAAGGCCTGCCCCAGATGCTGTCCTTAAGACACCAGCATCGTGAGCCAGTTACTGTTCTGTCCAGTGTGATTACCCAGTCTGTGGCATTCTGTTAAAACTGGGCAGACTAGGAGAATCCTAAGTACTTTCTAGGAACTAATAGTAGAGCAAGCCGATTTAAACCTGAACAGTCTGTCTTCAGCGCCTACCTCGAGAAGGGCATTTTTAATTATATAAAGGATTTAATTATATATAATATTTCAGTTGCATCTAAAGACTTGAAAATACTATACATTTACCCATTTGTGGCTGATTTATCAAGGAAATATTTTCTTAAAATATTATTCAACAGAATCAAGCAGCAGTTTGAAATGAAAATCCTTGGTAGTGGTTCTGAAACTCTGGTGTGTATCAAACTTTCAGAATTGGAATTCAGAATTCACATTTTTCACAAGGTTCAGGTAATGCTACTGATTGGACAGTCACAGTTAAGTGCTAGCTGACACTGCAAAGCTATGGTATCTTACCTCCCTTATTTTGAGCTTAACAGAATAAAGCAAAACAGCATTCTTTGAAACTCTTATAAGGAGAACAGATTTTATTCTAAAAATAGATCTCAGTAACAATGAAATACCAAAAGCTGATCAATATAATAAAAAGGGGAGAAAAGGTAACAGTTGTTCACCCTTTTTCTGAAAATACAAAACCATCATTGTTAACTTACTGCTAACTCCTATTTTACAGTTTATCCAAATTAGATATACCTGGATTGTTTTACTTCAAGATAATCATTCTTAGGAAATGCAAACAGAACTGAGCATTTGTGTAAGTAAACATTAGATACATTTAAGAAACATGGTCCAAAAAATTGTTTTGCATCACCATTTTTGCAGACACCAAAATGTACCATAAGTACTGGCAATTTTAAAGTTATAAATGTTCCTACTTAGAGACATACAGAGGAAAACAAATAACTATTTCCAAAGCAGAGGAGACTTTGAAGGCAAATGACAATATTTAAGAGTGGTTCTCTATTTTCAAAGTGCTAAAGAAACAAGTATTTAGAATTTTGTGTACTGGCTTGAAGTTCTTTTTAAAGACCTAAAAAGACCAAGATTACAGGTGACACACAGTTAAAGTTGCTCTCCTTATGAAGGAAGTACATGGCAAGTGTATCCTATACAGAAATGAAAGCAGCGGAGGCAGGACCAGGTAGTAACATACCTCAACCATTAGCCCACATTTCCTCCTCTGCAGATCCACTCATATCTGTATTCATCAGATGGATTCACCAAAATTGAGTAGAAATATCAAAATCCCTGATAAGTCATTCTGTGAAAGCCAAAGGTAGATCATGGAAGTTGTATGTCTGTTAAATGCATGTCCATTAGGACATTTTATTTCTTCAAATGACTTTCAGAAATAGGTGTGATTTAGTTTGGCCCTCTTAAGTAGAAATATTTTAGTATTTATTGTGACTAAATATCTCTATTCTTAAAAGTTTGACCCTGAGATTGAGTGCTGGGATATCAACTGAAAACACTTCAAAAATACACTGGCTAATAACTGGTGTCTCTCCAATACTGTGTGATACATCATGTTACTGGAAAGAAAAAAAGCAAAGTAACTTCCTTTAAGCATTAGAGTACAAAAAGGGCAGTGTCATATTAAGGAACCATGAAATTTCCTGTGTAAAAACTTTGTAATACAGTTTGTAACAAAATACATTGCTTTTTCCCAAATCTGAGTAAAATTGACAGTGCATGAAAATGCAACGTTTTTATCACTTAGGTTGACTGGACCAACCCCTGATGCCATAAGCACGGTGTTCACTCTGACTATACAGACCTTTAAAGCATACTGTTTTGGAAATCATACAAAGGACTATTTAAAAGTTAGCTATTGAAAGCAGCTCTACATTTCTTTAAACATATTTACTTAATATAACACTTAAATTAACAAGTGAATATGAAACAAAAGCTGTTTCCAGTGGTGACAATTTTCTCACAGTAGCAAACAATTTTCCCCTTTTAAACAAGATTTTAAAATAAAAGTGTTATGTTGAAATACTGAAATTTGCCTAAATTATACCCAAAAAATGTAAGCACTAACAACTGAAAGCTCAAAATAAACTATATTAATAGCAATACAAGGCTGCCAGTGCCATAGCAGGCCTCTAGTAGGGCTAAGCTTGGGTACTCTGGATTTTGCATATGTATTTTGTGTCTAAATTAAGCACTGTATAAAATGTCGATGCTTTCCTAAATTGTTTCTTCTGTGGCTGACTCGATCATGTGGCATTAGTACACAGCAGACATCTAGCTTTGAAAGGCACCCAAATCCTGTGTCAGCAACAGACACAATCTTAAGTGCTTTTTATTTGCATGCCCAGATGCCATCCTGCCCTACAGTGACGCTGCCTTGCATTACTGATCCTGTGTGACTAATGCCACTGAAATGGGTAAGAATTACTGTGTGCTTGCTAAAGGTAAATATAATTGCGTAAGCTACAAGAATTCATGGAAAAAACTCAACCAAGACCTTTTTACCTTTAGTAATATGATGAATCTTCAATACGCATGGCCTGTTTATGCTACTTTCAATATATTATACTAACAAACTAAGACTGACAGTGCTGCTTCAGTATTTCTTCTTTCCTTGGTCTTTGATTTCCTTAAATGATGGCATCATGTTCATCACTGTAATACAGCAAAAGTTACAGTTATTTTCTGTTTGTATCCGTCATCTTCCTATTTAAAGCTTTACAGTCAAAGTTAAGAAAATCTACAGAGGTGTAAAAATTCAGTAAGTACCAACACAATGTGTAGTTAACCTTAACAACAATCAGAGTCTCTATCAAAAGAGCTGCTCTCCATGGAGCTGGCACAATGGCTCAACAGGCTTCTCTCCACTTTGCAGAACCAGCATCCTACATGGGCACCAGTTCACGTCCCATCAAGCTCCCTGCTTATGGCCTAGGAAAAGAAAGGATGGGTAATTTGTTGGGCCCCTGCACCCACGTTGGAGTCCTGCAGGAGGCTGCTGACTCCAGTCTGGCCCAGCTGTTGTGGTCGTCAAGGAAGTAAACCAGCAGATCAAAGACCACTCACTGTTTTTCCCTAACTCTTTCAACTACATTTTTAAAAGAAATCTTGTTTTTATCAAGAATGCTATTTTTAATACTTCCAACAGATAGGTCAGTAAAGTGTGATGAGACATGAAAAAGATCGGCTACACTTTAGTCTCTAAAAAGAAAGGCTTGGCACTAGTAAAATGGCAAACATTGCAATTCGTTCATTTTCACTTCCAACAATAAGCCTATGTTTACAACTATCAGTGAAGAGGTGCATAATGAGGATGTAACTTAATCTATGAATTATTCATCCCAGAGAAGAACATTTGCCATAAAGATATCCACATGGCCAATAAAACTTACATGGTTCTATATCGAATGCCTCTTCTTGAATAATACATTTTGCATCCAATGTAAAGAATAGATAAAACTCCCAGTGTTAACACAATACCACCAACAAAGCTGCCAGTGTCAAATTTTGATGCTCTACTTTCTTCGGAATGAATCGTTGCTGTCACTGGAACAAAAACAAAACAGACTTTAATACTGTTTTTAAGAAAACACTTCTATGAACAAAACTTTTTGAATTTATGGATAAGAAAACTGAATTAGGATTTAAGTGACATCTATAGGAAGTTTGTACAATTTTTTGCAGATGGACTAATATCCTGGAAGTGGCTTTTAATAACTATTTTCAGCATAGGACAAACTGGTCGATTTGAATACATACTTGTTGCTGTTGTCGAAATGGTTGTCACTGTGCTGTTGTGGGTTGTCGTCACCGTAGATGTTGGCATCTGGGATGTGTTACGTGAAGCACTTGCTTTGGTTGTAGACTTTAAGGTGGTGGACGTCATGTTTGAGACCCCTGGTGTGGGTGCCATTTTAGATGTTACAGGTTTCACAGTTGTGGCTGTCACATTGCTGGGAGCTGAGGCAGCTGGAGTTACTGGTTTCACAGTGCTGTTAGAAATGTTCGCACTGCCAGAAGGCACTGTGGTGAGCACTGTAACGACATTGTTGATTAATGTTAAAGAACGAGCCATGATGTAGGGAATAGACCTCGCCTTCCTGCAATACACACATACAGCGAGTTTTATCAAATGCAGCAAAATGAAAACAGTGTATTAGTGCCTTGTACTGCACAGTACCGAGTGGCAACAGAGTATCTCAAACCAGTGGAATACTCAATGAAAGCAGCACCGGATTTGAATGTCATATCTTCACAAAAATTCTGACAAAGAATAAGGTGAAAGTGCAAGTAAGTTACTATCTTAAGAGTAAAACCGACTTCCCATAAATGCATTAGGAAGTAAAATGCCATCACAAAATGTGACCTATCAGAAATTTCATACTGGTAAATATTACTCAGAATTGCAGCATATTTCTGAAGCTACTTCTGAAACTTAATTACCTTTTTCTTTTTTCTTTTTATTATTTTTTTTTCATTGGAAAGGCGGATATACAGAGAGAAGAGACAGAGAGGAAGATCTTCTGTCCGATGATTCACTCCCCAAGTGAGCGCAACGGGCCGATGCTATGCCAATCCGAAGCCAGGAGCCTCTTGTGGGTCTCCCACGCGGGTGCAGGTTCCCAAAGCTTTGGGCCGTCCTCGACTGCTTTCCCAGGCCACAGGCAGGGAGCTGGAAGGGAAGCGGGGCTGCCGGGATTAGAACCGGCGCCCATATGGGATCCCGGGGTGTGCAAGGCGAGGACCTTAACCACTGCGCCACCGCGCCGGGCCCACCTTTTTCTTTATGTAAAGATTTCCTTTCTTATTTTCTGGCTTGGTGCAAACCTTTCTGTGGTAACACTGCTATTTACTTCTGGATTCATTTCTTAGCTCTCATTTTGAATTCAGGGCAGCTGGTTTCCTAGATTCTCCCCCTTCGACTCCTGTAACCACTGGCTCGGCCTGCTCCATGTGCCAGTGAGAGCAGCGCCAGTGCTCCCAGGCTCCTCCACCACCACTGCCTTCCCACACCAAAGTGACCACTTATCTATTACCATCTACACTTCCAAAGATTTTGGATTTATTCTTCAAAGATTCCAGGGCTGGTTTTTTTTGTTGTTGTTGTTTAATTTTACAGACCAATTTTTTTTTTTACTAGTCTAATTGTTCCTAAATTCTCTCTGTTTTGGTCTGTACTCTAGTCTCTTCCACAGAGTATTATCTATTTTTAAAGATGGATGAAAAAGGTCTGGTGTGGTAGCCTAGCAGCTAAAGTCTGTGCCTTGCACATGCCAGAATCCCATATGGGCACCAGTTCGTGCCCTGGCTGCTCCACTTCCATCCAGCTCCCTGCTTGTGGCCTGGAAAAGTAGTTGAGGACAGCCCAAAGCCTTGGGACCCTGCACCTGCGTCGGAGACCTGGAAGAAGCTCCCGGCTCTGAATCAGCTCAGCTCTGGTTGTTGGGGCCAGAGATCTTCCTCTCTGTCTCTCCTCCTCTGTATATCTAACTTTTCAATAAAATAGAATTTAAAATGGATGGGGAAATGAAGACTTTCATACTACATAGTGTAATTACCTGAATAGCTCAAATATTATTATGCACTTCTGAGTGCTCAGCAGGAATATAAATAATACTTTTAGTATCTTAATAATCATTTTGCTCTGAGCCAGCAAATGAATTCTATTATGAAATTATCTGAGCAAAGATACAGCATTTATCATCACATCTTTACAACAGAATGGTAAAACAATAAAAACAGTCCTGCTTTTGGACTCAACCCAGAGAGTCCTCCATCTCTCTGCCATAAGTTTCTTTGCAGAGCCTGCACGAAGTCACATGGCAAACACTAAAGCTGTTTCTCCAAATGTGTCATCTAAGCAGCTACTGACTGCCATCTCCGGGGAGCCGCACCGTCATCACCACCAGACACATCAGCAGACAGCATCCACACAGCACTTGCCAAGTGGGAGCCCCGACTCGCCCACCTCCCCTGGCCTTCGACTGAGTGTGCTGTGCCTGCCCATGCTGTCCTCTGCCTGTGGGGCACAGGAGAGCGCTACCCCTTCCTTCACGCTCAAGTGGCTCCCGGGAAACCACCTGAATTCGTAGATGGACAAGCACCTCTTAGACTTTAGATAGACACAAGTTAACTCAAACTTAAAAAGTAAATCCAAAATTGGTAAGCCATCTCTTCCCAGAGCAGAGTTCTTTAGTAGACTACCTCCACTAACAGCAGGTGGTCTTAACTTCTCGGGAAACAAATCAGACCCCCACAATCTGACAGTGTCTTGCAAAGTCGAGAACCTGCACAGTCTAAAAGAACAAAGGGTGAGAAAGGAAGGAAACCAACAAAGCCAGTGGCCCCACTAGGAGCTTCTAAACCTGAAGGGTTATGGCTGAACTGTGCTCCACCCACAACGCCCCCAATTCATATGCTGAATACTTAAAAGCCCCGGATCCTCAAAATAGGTCCTTATTTGGAGACAAGCTCTTCATAACGTTCAAGTTTAAATAAGACCAGAGGGTGATGTGTCAGGGTGGCCGAGCGGTCTAAGGCGCTAGACTCCAGACCTGAGGGTGATGCTTATACATTATCCTGTCATTATAAAAATTTATACAATGATGTATGCGCACACACACAGACCACCACCTGAAGACCAGCCAAGATCATGCTGCTGCTTCCATATGCCAGAGACAACCAAAGACTGCCAGCAAATCAGCAGAGCCAGCCTCGGTGAGCCCTGGACCTACTCCAGGCTCCTTGTACTGCAGGCATTCCCTAAGGGACCCGCCTTGCTATCAGGCTTTTTTCATTTACCACAAGGTTTGTCTCAAAGGTTGGGAAGAGCCAGTTCCTTTTACAGGTGTCTACAACCAAGCACTGCAAGATGGACTAAGTCTGTACTTGTTGTTAAACCAGTCACACAATTTGTTTTGATAAAACTTGAGATCACAGGGCCCCAGTTCCCATCCAGCTCCCTGCTTGTGGCCTGGAAAAGCAGTTGAGGACGGCCCAAAGCTTTGGGACCCTGTACCCGTGTGGGAGACCTGGAAGAGGCTCTGGCTTCGGACCAGCTCTACTCCAGGCGTTGCAGCCCCTTGGAGAGTGAATCAGTGGACAGACTCTTCCTCTCAGTGTATCTGACTTTATAATAAAAATAAATCCTTAAAAAAAAAACGAGATGAAATAATTTCCTTCAGAAATGCAGGAGCTTCTTGATCCTAACACCTGGTTTCCTCTGACTAATTGCAGAGAAAATGAAACAAAGTCTGAGGACAGCGCCCATGCCTCCTTGCTTCCCAATAACTGCAGTGTCAGGGTAAAGGGGTTGGCATTGTAACTCAGTGGGTTAATCCCACCACTGGGAATGCCAGAACGCCACATCAATGATGGCATCTCATACCAGAGAACAGACTTGTCACAGCTGCTCCACTTCTAATCTAACTTCCTACTTATGTACCTGGAAAGGCAACGGATAATGGTCCAAGTACCTGGGACCCTGACATCCATGTGAAAGACTCAGAAGGAATTCCTGATTGCAATCCTCTGGGGAGAACACAAAGATAATAAATCTCTCAAGTTGCTCTCTCAATTTCATAAATCTAAGAAGGTAAAGAGCATGCATTAGCTATGACACGTTTTCTCTCTGCTGTGAGAGTATTAAAATAGTCCAACTCTTCATTTCTGCTCCATGGTAAAGCTATTCCTCACACCCAATTTTTCTGTGATAGACTCAACTTCAATTTACTGAGCTCTAGTTAATCAAGCATGGACATGCGTTGCAGTAACAGCAGATGGTGGCTCAAACTGTGCCTCAGTTCAACCACTAACTTGTTGGAGTGCCTTAGGTAAGTTTAACTTGTCTGAGATTTATTGTCCTATTAGTAAGGAAGATAGGAATCAGCCCACATGAGTGAAAGGCACCTAAGGAAATAAGCACCAAGAAAAGGAATGTGGTCCCCTCTGGCAGCCCCAGCAGCATACCCTGGAAGCAGCCCAGCATTTTACACGGCAAAGTCCTGCCTGTACCCTCCATACCCCACACTTCCGCCTGTCCCCAAAGAACAGCATCCCAGGAGAAGCCTCTACCAGTGCCAAGAGGGCTATCCAGCCTTCTAACACTGGTACTAAGGCTTAGAAAGGAATTTTGCCTATCTCACACCCAGCAAACCCTCAGTCAACCTGAATACAGACTGTACATTCAGCTCATTCTTGCGATGCCCATCTGGCCTGTCGGGTGTATTCTCTCCACTAGACTTTGTGAGCCTGTTTAGCTCAGTCTGGACAGCCGCCATGCATGCTGACAGACCTCCTGACCCATTAAACCTTGCTACACTACTTAACCGCTACTCATGTCTGATTCTTTCTTGTGCCAAGACAGCAACCTGTTTTTCAGTGATGTCCACTAATACATCTGCAAACGTGCATGTCACATGGGGCTGGGAGAACCAAGATCATCCGCGTGGAACGCTTGGCACACTGCCTACCACAGTGAAAGTGCACAAGGATTTCAGTTTTGAGTTGCATTACAAAGTTCCCCTAGGCAGTGAGGACTGGGCACTAAAATCTCTCCCCTTCATGGTTACTGTATCTGACAGCTGGAGCACCCTGGGACGCTGCTGGAGGCTTTCTCAGTTCACTGATGCAAATAGCCAGAAAGAAGGAAGTGATGGGTAGGCCTTCTGCATTACCCCGCCCAGTCACAAAGCCAAGCACACTCTAAAGCCCTGTTTTGTCCTGCTGGCAGCCAAAGTTACTCAAAATCTGCACTGATTCCAACCAACTCTGTAGGCTGAAATGACTTCTCCATTCCCATCAGCCCTCTCCCTGTGAGCCCAAAAACACCTACACAGCATTTTCCACCTTTAACCCAAATATTTCTAAGTTATGGGTAATGATTTGTTTCCATGAGACTTTCCATAAGCACAGTTAAGCCAGAGTTGAAAATATACAACACAGTTTTTCAAATCTGATAGTTATGTTAAAATAGGACAGTCGTAGCTTTTCAGTTCATTCCTATTATAGGTGTCAAAGCTACTGAGCTGCTTCAG